ATTCTACTCTATGGAGATACCATATCTCTTCCCTGCGCCCCCCCCCCATTTAAATTTTTTACTGTGGAGTAGCTGGGTGGCTCAGCGGTTTAGTGCCGCCTTCAGCCCAGGGCCTGATCCTGGAGACCCAGGATCAAGTCCCATGTCAGGCTCCCTGCATGGAGCCTGCTTCTCCCTCTACCTGTGTCTCTGCCTCTCTCTCTCTGTGTCTCTCATGAATAAATAAATAAAATCTTAAATTTTTTTTTTACTATGGAAAATTTCAAACATATACAGAAAGTAGATAGAAGAGCACCTGGATGGCTCTGTCAGTTAAGTGGGCAACTCTGGATTTCTGCTTGGGTCCTGATCTCGGGGTGGTGAGATCGAGCCCCACATCAGGCTCTGCCCTGTTCAGCAGGGAATCAGAGTCTGCTTGAGATTCTCCTCTCCTGCCTCTCCCCCTGCTTGTGTGCACTCTCTTTCTAAAATAAATAAATATTTTTTAAAAGATAAAGTAGAAAAGTATATATAATGGACCCTCTCCCCACCCTGACCCATTACCCAACTTCAACAGTGATCAACTCATGGCCAGTTTTATTTCATCTAGACCACCATACACTCTCTTTCCTTCAAATTATTGTTTCTTGGTAACTTGTTATTTTGATGTAATTGCGAACTTACCATAACATCTATTTTAAGGATATTTCAGTTATGTATAATATTTTACTGCTGTAAACAATATAGTAAAGAAATACTATAACGTACCTTTTCACAAAGACCACATTCCCTGGTGCCCAAGAGAACAAGGGGCTGGGAACTGAAATACTTTCAAAGAATCTCTCTTGAGGAATAGGTCCTGAACATTGAACACAAATCTCAGCATTGCCAGATCCTTTCTCTGGGATCAAACCAAGAGTCAGATGCTTAACCACCTTTGCCACCCAGGCACCCACGCCTTTACATTTCTGGCCCCAATTCCAGTGCATGGGTTTTCCCATTCCGCCAAGCAATTGTCTAACACCAGGTGGGTGTTGCTAAAAGACAAACCGAATTTATTAGCAATTTTAAGAGTTTGAGCAAAAATTGATCAGAAGCAAGCAGCATCCTACCTAGCAGACAGAAAGAAAAAAGTACTGAGGAGCTGTATGAAAGACATATTTGGCAGAAGGGAACAGGAATGAGGAAGTGATACTAGGCAAAAAAGTGGATAGGTTATGGCAAGATTACTTTCCTTTAAAGGATAAGAATCTGTCAAGCAGATTACCTTATTAGTGCTGATCAGGTGATTCCTGATTGACTGGTTGAAGATTCCATTTCTGGGAGAGCCAGAATTGTAATTAAGTTAATTCTCAGTTTGTTGACATAGGGCTTTGCCTAAGTGACTCCATTTTGATCCAGTTGTCTTGCTTTTAACAGTGCTGTTGGGGTTCAGGGCAGGTTGCCCCCAAACATGTCACTTTGGCATATGGATTATTTCGAATTAAAGTTACCTAAGAAACAGTCAGTGCAATAAGGACATTGTGACCCTCTTTTATCTCCTCGAAAGCAGGAAATAAATTTTCCATGTGAAGGGTATCTGGGTAGAAAACAGTCTTATCACCAGATAGGGAATTCAGGACCAGAATTCTGTATAAATAAACCTTGATTACTTATTCACTAATTTGCTACCCCAAGCCCAAACTTATTTCTCTTGTCAGTTCTTCACAGATTTATTATTTCTTTATCTAAAAGGTAAAAAACAAAAACAAAAACAACTGCCTGCTTTGGTTGCTTCTTTGTATCTCATATTTTTATGCATTCTCATATGTACAGAACTAAATTTGCTTAGTTAAGCTGTGAATCTGTCTTATGTCAATTTAATTATTAGGTCAGGCACCTAGGACCTAGGAAGGAGAACCTAGGAAGGAAAAAGGGAAAAGTTCTTCCTCCCCCACAGTGTCCTACAATTCAACTCAATTCTGTCACTATTTACTGGAGATAGCCTCACCTTCTACATGTTAAGGGTTCAATCCTTAACATGAGACTGCCCTCAACTCCTACAGAAGCCAAATGCAAGTCCAGGTTGTCACCTGTGCTTCTGAGGACCAGCTAGCTGTCAAGTTCCAATGACCCACTCCTCAGGTTCAATGAATTTGCTATAGCAGCTCACAGAACTCAGAGAAACAACGTACTGGATTACAAGTTTACTACAAAAGGATGTAACTCAGGAACAGCAAAATGGAAGAGAGAGGCATGGGTCAAGGTATGTGGGAAGGGACATGGAGCTTCCATGCCTTATCTGAGCTGGCCACTTTCCTTGAATGTGGGAGTTCTCTGAACTCTGTCCTTTTGAGTTTTCAGGGAGGCTACATGACACAAGCATCAGTGAATCAATCTTTGGCCATTGGTGATTGATTCAATCTCTAGCTCCTCTCTTCTCCCCTCCAGACGTCAGGGGGTGGAACTGAGAGTTGCAACTCCAATCACTTGGTTGACTCCCGTGGCAGCCAGCCCCCAAGACACCTTTCTCACTGTCATCACAGGAAATTCCAAGGGTTTTTGGAGCTCTGTGCCTGGAGCAGGAGGAAGGCCAAATAAATATTTCTTACTAAAAATCACAATATCACAGCCTATAGCTGACTCTCCAGAGCTTTTGCCTGCGACATTTTAGAAGGCCACATGTTCAGACAAGACCCATAGTTCAGACTAGAATCATACTTGGAAAGACATTTTCAGAGGAAGCTTACCATGCAGTTTTTTTTTTTTTTAAGATTTTATTTATTCATGAGAGGCACAGAGAGAGAGGCAAGAGACATAGACAGAGGGAGAAGCAGGCTCCATGCAGGGAGCCCAATGTAGGACTTGATCCTGGAACTCTGGGGTCACATCCTGGGCTGAAGGCAGATGCTCAACTGCTGAGCCACCCAGGCATCCCGTCCCATGCAGCGTCTTTTCTCTCTCTCTCTCTCTCTCTCTCGCTCTCTTTTTCAAAGATTTTATTAATTCATTTGAGACAGAGAGAGAGAGAGAGAAAGAGAGCAAGCATGAGCAGGGCAAAAGGCAGAGGCAGGGGAAGAAGCAGATTCACCATTTAGCAGGAAGCCCAATGTGGGGCTCGATCCCAGGACCCGGAGATCATGACCTGAGCTGAAGGCAGATGCCCAACTGACTGAGCCACCCAGGTGCCCCAACTTCTTTTCTTCTGTATGGGTATTTTGTGCGCAAGCACCCAGCAGTAGCTTTTCCACAGGTGAGTGCCATGTGCCCAAAAGCAGAATTGTCCTATCTGGCACTTCTCTAAACCCCTTACCTAAGTCTTCATCCTATGTTGCACATGGGTCTTCTCGAGCGGCAGTTGCTTGGTGTTAGCTATCCCAACATGTGTCCTCCTCTCTCCTCTTCCCTGTGCTGCAAGAGGGGTTGAAAAAACCATTATCTGATTATCTCGGAGACTCTGTTGCTAGTGCAGAGCCTGGACCACAGGAGGAGTCAGGGAACAGTCACTGCCACGTGTGACCACATCAGAACATGGCCTGGCTCATCATAGATGGCAAACTGGCTGCCAGGCAGAATTGAGTGGATTTTGTCCTTGGCTAATTCAGTGTTTAAATTAAATGCTAAACTGGTTGCTGACATGTACAGGATTTCATACAGAAATTTCATATAAGGGTTGCCTGGATGGCTCAGTCAGTGAAGCATCTGCCTTCAGCTCAGGTCATGGTCCCAGGGTCGTGGTATCGAGCCCCGCTTTGGAGCTCCCTGCTCTGTGGGAAGCCTGCTTCTCTCTCTCTCTCTCTCTCTCTCTGCTCCTCCCTCAACTTGCGTTCTCTAACTCTATTTCTCTGTCAAATAAATAAAGTCATCTTTTAAAAAAAGAAATTTCATATAGAAACACTCTGTTCTCTTGAAAAATGGATAGATGGGCAATTTTGGGCTAGCGTTCCTGCCCGGTATCAATTGTTGGGAACTGAGCAGTGGCTTCCTCCTCGCAGGATGCGCTTCAGGTCTCCAGTGTCCACACTGGCAGGCATCTTCAGCCCTGCCAATCTCTCTCCTTGAGTCATCTGCCCAGCCAGTGAAGACGGCTGTTTGGGACTCCTGGTTGTTGGCTATGGTTGACAACCTTTTCAGTGGCTCCAGATGCTTCAAGAATCTCCCGAGTCATGTACCATATGTACTCTCTCTCCACTGCAATACGCACAACCTTTTTTTACATGCAGCCTGGAGCTCTGCTGCCCCTCCCGAGGCCAGGCCACAAACTCGAAGGGCGAGAGTTCCCGAGTCAGAGGTGACCTCTTCCCGGGCCTTCTCCAACAGTCTTTCCCAGGCGCCCCCGCGGCTGGCTCCTGCTCCACATTCCAGCCTCAGCCCAATGAGCAACTGGCCGAGGCCTCACCGGACCATTCCTTGTAAACTGGCTGTCCTCCCTTCTCCGGTGCTCTAGCCCTTTTATTTCTAAAGATTTTGTTTCCTGGGGAGAAGGGCAGAGAGAGAGAGGGAGAGGGAGAAGCAGACTCCCCGCTGAGCAGGGAGCCCAAACGCAGCACTCTAGGCCTTTTATTCTCCGCTTTTATTTTTCCTGCAAGGTCTCTCCCTCTCTGAAACGGTCTGGCTCACACATTCATTCACCTGCTTATTAACTGACCCGCACCCCAGCCCAGGACAGTATAAGGGCGGGAGGGCGCTGTGTCCCAGGGCCAGGAATAAGCAGTGCCTGGTACCAGGGGGCACACGATAAGAGCTCGTTGCATGGATCTCCTGCCCTCCCCCCGGTCTCCTCGAGGCACCGGGTGGCAGGAGCCACGTGAGAGCACCGCCCTGCACAGCGACCTTGGTCCAGTCCCGACCCCGGGGACCCTCCTCCGGCGCGGTGAACGGCAGCGCCCGCGGGCGCCCAGAGGGCGGAAGCTTCGGCGCCGGAACGCGCGTGCCGGGGCGCGGGTTGCGGGGGGGGCGGCTTAACCGGCCGGACCGCGGCGGCGGCGGCGGCGGCGGCGGCGGCGGCGGCGGCGTGAGGGGAGGGCGGCGGCGGCGGCGGGCGGCGGCGGCGGCGGCGGCATGGCTGGCCGGCGGGTGAACGTGAACGTGGGCGTGCTGGGCCACATCGACAGCGGCAAGACGGCTCTGGCGCGGGCGCTGAGCACCACGGCCTCCACCGCCGCCTTCGACAAGCAGCCGCAGAGCCGCGAGCGCGGCATCACGCTCGACCTGGGCTTCTCGTGCTTCTCGGTGCCGCTGCCCGCGCGCCTGCGGCCGGCGCTGCCCGCGCCCCCGGCGGCGTCCGGGGCCGAGCCCGGGCCCGAGCCCGAGCCCGGCGAGCCGCAGCTGCAGGTCACGCTGGTCGACTGCCCCGGGCACGCCTCCCTCATCCGGACCATCATTGGCGGTGAGCGCGGGCCGGGGCGGGAGGCGGCCGCCCCTCCGACCCGCGGACGGCCCCCGCCCTGCCGCGAGGCCCCCGGGTCGGAGGGGCGGCGGGGGCTCGGGCCCGGGGCCCTCCCGGGGTCGGAGGGGCGGCCCGCGAGCGGAGCGCTGGCCACCGGCGCAACCGCGCGGCAGGCGCTGCCGTAAAGTTGTTTTGGTTTCCGAGGTGAGGTTGAGCTACGCGGACGAGAAGGAAAACTCAAGACCACCCAGAGGGCGTACGTAGAAAGTGCCGGAAAACATAAGTCTCACTCATGCTTTCTTTGGTCTCCTGGTTCCCGTCTCCAGAGTCACCAGCTGTTCCCAGTTCCTTGTGTCATGTCAGAAAAACCCCACGTGAAGACAAGCACACTCGCGCGTATGTGAACCCCCTTCCGCGTCTTCATGACGTGGTAACGTGCACCCTATACGCTCTGGCAGTCGCCACCAGGGCTCCGTATCCCCACGCACGTTCCAGTTGTTTAGAGAAGGTGAGAGGGGTTGCAGGGACCGAGGGAGAGGGAGTCCCAAGCAGGCTCCACGCCCAGCGCAGCGCAGAGCCCGGGGGCTCCACCGCAGGACCTGAGACCTTGACCTGAGCAGAAATCGAGAGTCTTAGGACTGAGCCACCCAGGCCTCCCAAAGGCCATATTATTTTTAAGTCATGTAGAACTCCATGGTACAGCTGCACCAACGTCTTCTTAACTTACTTAAAAAAAAAAAAAAAAAAAGATTTTATTTGTTTATTCATGAGACATAGGCACAGGGAGAAGCAGGCTCCCCACAATCCCAGAACCCCAGGATCACAACCTGAGCCAGAGGCAGATGCTCAGTCCCCGAGCCACCCAGGTGCCCTTCTTAATTAACTCTTAATGATGGACGTTTATGTTGCTTGCAGTTTTTGCTAAGGATGCTTCGGTGAATTTTCTAGAACAAGTCTGGTGGGGGTGCTAATGTATATGTAGGGTAAGCTCCTAGAACTAAACTGGCGTGGGGCAAAGAGCACATGGATTTTCAGTCATGATGGGTACAGCCAAAATGCCCTCCAAAGATAGACCATTTAACTAATTTTTAATCATACAGGTAATACGTGAATACATTCTGCTTGTGAAGAAATGGAATGTTCCAAATTAGGCCAACGTCCCCTAATTGCCACTCCTGTTTCTTCAGAGGAAGCCACTATTACACCTTTATGGATTACTTTTCTGGATTCATTGTACCACAGTTAAATCTATGGACAGAGCTTTAAAACTTGCTCTGTTTTTAGAGACAAATGATAACTAAGAGAAGCACTTCACACAAAAGGGTGTATAGCTAAAAAAGTCTCTTCACTGCTGACCCAAGTATTTGGTTACTTCCCTGTTTTCCATCGCCTTCTCTTTCCTTCCAATTATATGATATTCTGTACACTTACAAGCACATTATAGGAATATATATTGGGCAGATGGGTTTATTGGCTTGGTGGCGGATGGACCTCATTGGTCACTGGGCATGCTAGGTCCCAGCTGTAGTGATGAGCGTGTTAAGTACTTTTACCTTCGTTACCTCCTAGCTGTTCCATGCTGCAGGCAGTCTGAGGTCATTTCCCCATTTTACAGTAGAAGTAGAGGCTCAGGGATCCCTGGGTGGCGCAGCGGTTTGGCGCCTGCCTTTGGCCCAGGGCGCGGTCCTGGAGACCCGGGATCGAATCCCACGTCGGGCTCCCGGTGCATGGAGCCTGCTTCTCCCTCTGCCTGTGTCTCTGCCTCTCTCTCTCTCTCTCTCTCTCTCTCTCTCTGTGTGTGTGTGTGTGACTGTCATAAATAAATAAATAAATAAATAAAAAGAAATTATAAAAAAAAAAAAGAAGTAGAGGCTCAAAGAGAAGAGACCTGTCCAAGGCCACACTGCCTAAAGTCCTCCACTCAAGTCGTGTTTCAGTCATCAGATGAATGTTAAGGGGCATGTGATCCTCTCTGCCCTTTCCCTGTCCCTAACCCTCCCCTTAACTGAATTCTGTTTAGTCACATCCAAGTACATTTAAGACATGTACTCTGAGCCAGTCTAGGTTGGAGATGGAAGCAATAGGTTAAAGTAAAACAAGAAGGCACTTTTAGGTGTTTTGTTTTTTAGTAAATAACGTAGGTAAGTAACAAAGGATGTGCTTTTGGAGTCAGAACTGGGCTTGAGGTCTAGGTTTTTCCTTTATCAACTGTATGACCTTTGAACCTAATTTTGGACCTTACACACACTGGCAGATAGTGACCACACAGCTCTTCATTGACTTTGCTTTTCTCACATGCTTGCCACATCCCAGGCAGACGCTACAAGGAACATGGTGGTTACTATTTAATAGTTGAAGCAATTGGGATGTAGGGAGGCTTCTGGTAAGTGGCACAGCCCAGGTCCCTCTGATCCAAAGCTAGAGCTCTTTCCCATGTTCCCTGAGTCACTTTATACTACCCCTAGCCCCCTTCTAACCTATCCATCTACAGAGACACTCTTTGTAGGAGAAAATATATCAGGCACGAGCCTTATTCTATGTAACCAAATATAATGCCTCCAAGAATTTGGCAAGTCCTTAGTTTAGACTGTAAAACTCTAGAAGACAAGAGGAGTTTTTTCTCCTCTTGTACATACATTGTGGTTCTGCCTACTTTTCTCTCACCTCCTGAGTGAGAAGACTTTCCTTACTTTCTTACAGGCATTAAAATGTGACCCGAACACAGTGGAATGGTGAGACTAAGGGCTGCCACTCTCCTTCCCTGCGTAGATCAGATTCCCACCCTTTTCAGAAAAATGAGGAACGATGAGGGAAGGGCACTCACATTTGAGTACCTGCTCTGGCCCACACCAGTTGCTAAGAACTCGCATCTGTGCAACAACCCCCTAGTGGCAGGAGTGTGAGCCCTGTTTTTCAGAAAAAGAAGCTGAAGCTTGGAAAGTAAAGTACCCTGAGCTGGTATCTGCCAAACTCTGCTGCCCCTAACCTGGATCTGGTTAATATCTTTAATTATCCTCATGAATCATAAATCTCTAGCTATCTTTGCCTTCTTGAGATTGCTCCAGAGGCCAAATCCCTGCCTCTGCTGGTCTCCTACAGTGCTGGACCTTCTTCCCTCCTGATGGCTAGCCCTCCTCTCCCTGCTACTCCATTCCCACACAGTAGGCAGTGAACTCCTTTTACAGGATTCGTCAGGTCATGATTCATTGGGTCACGTTGGCCCTCAGCCTCAACACTTTCCAGTGGCTTCTCTTTGTGCTTAGAGTAAAATCCAGCCTCTTTGGGCAGCCCGGGTGGCTCAGCGGCTTAGCGCCGCCTTCAGCCCAGGGTGTGATCCCGCAGACCTGGGATCGAGTCCCATGTCAGGCTCCCTGCATGGAGCCTGCTTCTGTCTCTGCCTGTGTGTCTGTCTGTCTCTCTCTCTGTCTCTCTCTGTCTCTCTGTCTCATGAATAAATAAATAAAATCTTAAAAAAAAATCCACTCTCTTTGTGGGCTGCAGAACCCATGGTCTGGCCTTCGTCTTCCTCTGAGCCTCCTCCCTTGCTCCTGACCTTCAGTCTCACTGGCCTCATTTCTGCTTATTGAATGGGCTAGTCTTTGCATCTACTGTTCCCTCTTTTTGATACGTCTGGCTCCTCATTTATATCTCAGCTTGAGTGTTCCTTCAAAGAGGGCTCCTCTGAGCTGTCTAGCTAAAGTATCCTCAGCTCTCTCCCCCATGTACTTTCTCGTGTCCCTGTTTTACTTCTGTACGGCCCTTTTCACTATCTGATACTCTATGTGTTTGCTGGTTGATTGTGTCTGTCCTTCTACGAGACCAGAGTAGGAATCATTTGTGTCTTATTTACCAGTGTATTCTCAGGGTCTGGGCCAGAGCCAAGTGTGTGGTAGGCATTCAGTAAGTTTGAATGGATGAAGCTGTGTACTACTTCCTGGGCTGGCTGGTAATAGTGAGCAGAGAATTTTCTTCCTGGGTTAGTGGATAGAAAGCAATCAGCATGGGACCTGGCCTAGAGTAGGTGCATTATGCATGTTGATTATTTTCCCTCCCTCTAGGAGCTAACAGCAGAGCTAGGGAGAGGACACTGTCTGATGCGTAGAGTGACCTGTCAGAGCTTTTTTGCATACAGGACAAAAGCAGGAATAACTCACTTTGCTGGGAGGTGGGGTATAGGGTACATGGGGGAAAGAAGAGCTTTCCTAGTAGAGGAATTGCCTGGGCAGGGCACTGTGGCTTAAATCTGCCTTTTTGTCTGTTTAGAGTCAGAGGTAACAGCTAGCATTTTAGTTGTGGCTGGAAATCAGCTTGGGTGTGTGGGGAGGTGTGATAAAGATGAAGGTAGAAGGAAGGGTTGGTGGGCCAGATCCTATAGAGTGGTAAGTGTTGAACTTTAGGCCCTTTGTGTAGATTTCTCTTACGAGCCTTGGAAGGCTATTTTTTTTTAATTTTTTTTATTTATTTATGATAGAGAGAGAGAGAGAGGCAGAGACACAGGCAGAGGGAGAAGCAGGCTCCATGCACCGGGAGCCCGACGTGGGATTCGATCCCGGGTCTCCAGGATCGCGCCCTGGGCCAAAGGCAGGCGCTAAACCGCTGCGCCACCCAGGGATCCCTCTTGGAAGGCTATTAAACAGGGTTGTGACAAGATCAGGCCCAAGCTTTAGGACGATGCAAGATTGCCCAACAGGGGCTTGTACTGGCAGCAGGCAATGCACCTATACCTGGGATTGCTGGAGGGTTGGGCTCTTGTTAGAGTTCCTGGCTTGCTGTGAATAATTTAGACCTCTTGCTGAATACATTATCCCCAGTAGAAGAAAATTAGAATGATTGTCTGAGTTCCATGATGATATCTCTGAAGTTTAATATATCTTATATTAAAGCCAGTTCTTTTTAATTCTATTGCTCCCCCCACCCCCGCCAAGTATTTTCACTACCCAAAAGAATCCTTCTTAACATAGAGAAAATTGGGCTTTATATCCTTGATCCATGTGGCCATA